AAGTAAAGCTTACTTTTTTAGTTAGCACATTTTAAACTAAGTCTTTACATTTGTCTTATCTCGTTCTCGTCAATCAATGAGTCGAATTCACCGCTATCCATAATATCAAACTCGCTTTCAGAACACCTTCAAACTCCTGCGCTAAGAACCTAACCTTGCACCTACTCAACTCGTTTCCCTTTTTCAGTCCCGTTTGGAGGCTGAATACGAATCCATCTTAGAGCCGGGTGAAAACTACACCGATCTAATAGATTCACTGTCTCCGAGCTGCTCTGACGTCATCAAGTCGTGTCAGCTGGCCACGATCGCCGTGCCTGGCGAGGAATGCTGCCAAAAATACTTCACCGCCGTCTACACAATTCGCGGAAAGTGCTTCCAGATGGCAGGTGCGGTTACCAGATGACAGGGTTTACGCGATACGGTTTGATGGCTGGATGCAGGATGGTTTCGGGTCAATTTTGGGCATACTGTGTTTGTTTACAAACTAGGTACCACACGATATCGTTAAAAGATTTGCATGTGGTGCAAACGATGTGAAAGGCTGATACATATGAAAGGAATAGGTGAATAAAATTGTCTTTTAAATTTGTAATTTATGGTTCAAAATAATTTAGATATGATCATCAATGAAAGAGATGACAGATGCATATAATTTTAAATTTACTCCCTACCATTTTGCTTTATATTTACCTCTCATATCGCCCCCTCGCCCCCCTCTTCGTCCGTCAGATTTCACCCAGGAAGACGACGGGAAGCAGCACGGTCTGCTCTTCACTCTCTCCCTTCCTCCTGCCGAGTTCCCCAGCCTGGACCGGTCGCTAGTCGGCGGCTGCCTCAACACACGACTCGGTATGGAAATCCTGCTGGACGACCCGCATCGGCTACCGCATGTGCGAGTCTATACACACTCGGTGGCAGTGTCGGCGCCCGGGGTTTTGGAGCTGAGGGTTACCCGGGAGACCTCTGACCGGCATGGTTTGCTGGTGAGTGTGGGAAGTGGGGAGTGGAGGAGTGGGGAGTGGGAAGTGTGGGGAGCGGGGAGTGGCTAGCGGGGAGTGGGGACTGGGGAAGTGGTGGGTTGAAGGTAGAGGTTGAGGGTAATGGGCGATGGTTAGTAAAAACCTGGTGACTGATGTAGTGGTCGGAGGGAGAGTCATTGCTTGGTGGGCTGTGGGTTGTTTAGTGGCTGTTATATTGGGAGGTAGGTTGATTAGGTAAGCGGAAGTCGAGATGCGGCCCAGGTGGTTGTGGCGTCTCTTATTTATTCAATGATGGGTAGTTGCCAGCGCCCACTGCGGACAGCGAATTATAAATGGACACCTACGAACTCAGGGAGTGGTAGTAAAGGTAAACCACGATAATGATAAGCCATACCGGCTGTAGACAGACTGTATCTCACGTCCTTCACTTTTCTCAGAACTCGGTGTTTCCACCTCGACACCGATGTGCCGCGTCCAACGGCACATCTCTTCCCGAATCGGTGGACAACTGCCCCGTCCTTCAGCTAGCCGAGACCATCCGCCTCACATGCGGCTGCTATTGGCTGAGTCTGCCCGTTACCACCAACGACACCGGTACGCCCATCTGCTCCCCTCTGCAGGTGTTCAGCTGCGCGATCCCGCTGCAGATGAATCAGTCCAGAAGTGGCTGTCACTCCGCCTGTCGAGAGGACGATTTTCAGACGGACGTCATCGTCAACAAACTCAGCCCCATGGCTGAGGCGATCGGGATGAGACGCGGCGTCCCCCCAGACGGCCTGCTGTTTCTGAAGGTGTATTTCAAGACGCTGCAGTACCGCCTGGTGCGACACTGGTGTCAGACGGGCTCCGAACTGCTGGCTGAGCTCGGCGGACACATGGGAATCTTCCTCGGCGTCAGTGTGGTCACTCTCTGTGAGGCGGTGGCGGCCATCGGAAGCTGTGTCGCAGGCGTCTGTCGAACACGACGCGTCGATAGCGATGAAGACGTGCGGCAGCGGCAGGGCGGCAGCGGTGAGCGCGGCGCGGAGCCGTGGGGGACGAAGACGCACGCGATGCACCTTGCTTTCAGGGCGTATAGTCCGTCCGGTGAGCTGGTACCAATGGCCGCGGCGTACTACCCTCCTCCGCCGGAGAAAATCGTGCGGTCGTCTCTTCAGAATTAGATCATGCATATTTTTCTGATAGGAAAATAATGCAGTCAAAGGTATGTTCAAAAGTAGATCAAATATTTGTTATCAAATGTAATAAATACCTGCTGCTCAGCGTCAAACATCTTGATTGAGTTGCTACTAACGCGTAACTTGGAATGTTTTATGGTTTATGGCACTGTTTTTTTTTTGTCGCACCTACTGAAAGGCTCTTTTCTTTAATAAACAATGTGCAAAAAATGTGCGGGTCTATCCCTGCAAGTATTGTTTAAAAGCGCTCATTTGCGACACTCGAATGGCTGTTCGTTCACTTTTAAATACATATGTTCATTTTTGTTGAGATGCATTATCCGTCGTTCCACCGTCCTGCTTATCCTAATAAATCAGTCTTGCTCAAGCGTCGTAACACACACACACACATCATACATGTTTTATTAAGACGGTCCAACGATAAAGTAATCATCCATTTTACATATGCAACGCACGGCGCCCAACTATAGGGCTTTCAGAATTGATTCCATTACATGACCGACTGGTGTTAGACTGTACCGCATAGCACGTGTGCCATGCGGTGCAGCCGACCCTGTAATAAATTGTCCGCGGACATAGAGCGCTGCGAACGCCAGCCAGCCGTATATTGCATGATTAAATACTCTTCATGAACACATTTGTTAGACGCGCAGTGCTGAATACCCTGCACCTACGTGCGTAATACACCTGTCCTACAAACACGTACTGATCGTTTCAACAGCAAATGCAGCATACGGGTTAGGGGTATAATTACTGTCCATCGATCTCCATAAAGATACAACACAGAGGTGCCTTACACATTATATCCTCCCTAAAAAAATTACCTGTCTCCTTTTGACGAAATGCTTTTTTTCAAACATCTGTATTTCGATCGAAGTGTAGGCGTCATGCCAACCCATTTGATTTGAATTCCTGCGCAACATAGGGGAGAGCGGGGCCAGTTGAAACACGGGGTCAGATGAAACATGGCTTTATTTTCAACACTATGCAACATATGGCGTTGCCGACACCACTGCGCATCCGCGCTCGATCACTTCCTTTGTCAACGGCGTTTGGGCGGCAAACGGACGGTAATTTTGATTTGACAATTGTTTTTGTGTTTTTGAGGGGCGTTTGGGAGAAATCGTTTTTATGAATATTTTGTGATATCTCATATACCTTTGTTTGCTGAAAGAAGAACTCCTGGCTCCGGAATAACACCTTATTTGGCCCTTCATTCAGCATGATGCCGTCCCTCCAGCTCGTTTGACATGTGCTTTACGGCGCGTGCGAGATGGCGGGAGCGGATGGGGTCAATTGAAACGCTTTTCTGAGGGTCAGTTGAAACAGGGCCACAGGCCGTTTCAATTGACCCCGGTGACCATTGCAATGGTTATTGTTCAGGGGCTGTAAACATTAAAGGAAATAGTCCACCTTTGAAATGAGCTTTTAAACTGAAATAGTAGTTTAATAGAGCTCAATTTTTGACCCCTTTTTCTCCAGCCTTTTGCTTGAAAGCACACTATAGCCTGAGATATTTCTAATTTTTCTCATCCGCCCATTTTACCATAGTCTATGTACTTTATGTCACCTATTATGAGGAACTTTGCACTTTTAGCTTTCCAACGACCTATTGAATGTAGCATTTGGAAAAGTAAACCGGACAAAAAATCTCCTTAAGAAAGTGGCCTTAAAGAGGAAGACATCCCATTGTTAAGGATAGGTGCAATTGACCCCATGGGCTGGTTCAATTGACCCTCGCATCGGGGTCATTTGAAACGGGCGTAGAGCTGTTTTATAAGCATGCGTTTGGCAGCAAAATATGTTTGAAACATAATTTTACATATCTTAAAATAAAGCCAAAAGAGCATATTTTGTCATGGCATTGTGCATTAGGGTTGTTCAAAAAAACCGAATTTTGGAAAAGTATATGGGCTCATGGCTCATGTGGTGCGGTATTCTTTTCTGAGACCAATGATGCCCTTTTTTCTGAAAAGTATTAACTGTTAGGGGCTCCTCAAACGGCTTAAAGAGGACCATGTTACGCCCGCCGACCGGCCGGTGTCAATAAGGGCGAGAACTCGACGCCGAGCGCCTTATCGGCACCGCGCGCCACGACATCTGCCGGGCGGCCGGCTGGGCGGTGGGAAGTTCTAAGTGCGTGGTCTTATTGCACACGATCGGGGTGAGCTATCCCATGTTTTCGGGGCGGAAAGTTTCAGTGCAGCATCGGTGCGTCTGCCACGGTGGTCTGTGTCAATGGTATAGAAAATAACTCAAGCAGAGCTCAGAAAAGACTGAATGATTCCGGGTAGTTGCCTCGAAGCAATCCGTTTCAAGAATACAGCTGCCTTCTTAACGTACCGTATCACTTGTTAATTCTTCAAAAAGCAAACTCTGAGCAATAACACACCTCTTTGCATTGCTGTTGACAATTTACGTTAGTTTTTGACGTTGGCTCGCACCCCCAATATGCTGCCGCGCAACTTTATTCCAACGGCAAAACGGCAACTTCGCGAGAATCGAAAATTCACGATATACGAACAACAGGGGCTGGCAATGCAGTATGCACAAGGACAGAATATGGAGGATACCCGACAGTCATCGGCCCAAGTTTGGGGGTGGCTTTGACGAGCATAGGCGTCACCAATGTCATTAATCAGATACGTTGATGTCAGATGCTGGGGCAATAGAATCGACGCCAGGTTTAACTTAGATTAGCGGGTCGAAAGAAAACATAACATGTCTGGGAGTGACAGGGTGGCCACACTGACAGTGTGACGAAGTGAGACATGAGTAGAGACGTTAGCCGGAGTACGTACTCATATAAATCAAGCGCCGTTTATCCAATCCTTTCGAGCATAAGCGACGCCGGCAGTCCGGCCAGGGCGGCCGTGCCCACACTGAAAAAAATAATGACACCTAAAAGGGGTGTTTTTTGAAGCGTACCAAAAACGCGCAGTTTTCTGGAGTCCGATTACACCCGGAATCAGACACTTTCTAGGGTATTATGACACTGGTTGAGGGTGTATTTTTATACCGTACGGCGTCAAATGATTCCCGGAATCATACGCCTTATGGAATAAAAATACACCCCAAATCAGAGTCATAATACTCTAGGAAGTGTCTGATTCCGGGTGTAATCTGACTCCTGGAAACTGCGCGTTTTTGGTACGCTTCAAAAAACACCCCTTTTAGGTGTCACTTCAGGGAGTAATCGGATTTTGAGGGTGTATTTTGATCCCACACGGTGTATGATTCCGGGAATCATTTGACGACATGTGGTATAAAATACACTTCCAACCAGAGTCAGATTACCTCGGGGGGTGTCTGATTCCGGGTGTAATCGGACTCCTGGAAACTGCGCGTTTTTGGTACGCTTCAAAAAACACCCCTCGTAGGTGTCACCTCAACGGTGTCAAATGACTCTTGGGATGGTTTTTCTATACCGGCTCAGAGCCTGTTCCTGTTAGTGTCATACATCAGCTAATATCAATATTACCGGTACTATTGGTCTCCTATATAAGAAATACCGGTAATATTCGAGTGCGGGGATTGGGTTGTGTGCAGTGAGGGATGCACTCGAACCGAGCTGCGGCGAGGGTATAAAGGGTATATTCATCGCATCAGAAAAACAGGTCGCCTGGGCCCTTATCTTGAGACCAATAGTATGGTATGTACAACTAACCAACATACGGCATACCCATGGGTATGTTCTGCTTCTGAAGCTTATAGGAACGATTAGCCAGGCTGCAACGAGACTTTAAATGTAGCTTACATGTGTCTTCACCCTTGCAGCTACAATTTTATCTATTGACGATGACGTCTTCTTTTCAATCAGTCTTTATACCAGATATTGTCAAATGATTCTCGGAATCATACACCTTATGGGATCAAAATACACTCTCCAACAGAGTCATAATTGCAGTTGTTAACCACGTGACGCAAATTAACAATACATGCATGTCATTCTTTATTTTATATGCAGCAATAAATTCCACACTGGCGGATCCAGGGGGGGGCCACGGGGGCCATGGCCCCCCCCAAAGGCCTAAAGTGGCCGGTTTGGCCCCCCCCAAAACGTCCGAAAAAAATGCTAAGAAAATATACCTTGATGGAGGTTTTTAGCCACTTGGTGAAGTAAAGCTTTCCACAGCATAATATGGAAGCAATATGGTAGCAGTGAGGGTCAGTCAAAAGTTGCGCGAGAGGAGTCGACCTTAAAAAAAGACTGTTGTTGGCACGTGTTTATGGCGCGGCAGCTGGTAGTTGGCGGTGTTTCGCGTGGTGTGGCATCACTAGCCGATCCAGGGGGGGGGGGCACGGGAGCCTGAGGTGCCCCTGACAGGTCCATGGTGCCCTTGCTAGGCCTGTGGTGCCCCTGGACCCTGGCAGGCCTGTGGTGGCTCTGGCGGGCCTAGGGTGCCCCTGCTAGGCTGCTGATGCCCCTGGGACCTGACAGGACTGCGGTGCCCCTGACAAGCCTAAAGCGCCCCCAACAGGCCCGTGATGTCCCCGACAGGCCCAAGGTGCCCCTGCGTGATGCCGTGATGCCTGCGAGGCCGGCAGGGCCCCTGGCAGGACCATGGTGCCCCTGCGAGGCCGGTGGTGCCCCTGGCAGGTCTCTGGTGTCCCTGACAGACCTGGGGTGCCCATGACAAGCCTGTGGGCCCCTCACAGGCCCGTGGTGCCCTTGCTAGGCCTGTGGTGCCCCTGGCGGGCTGGTGGTGCCCCTGCTAGGCCGGTGGTGCCCCTGACAGGCACCACCCGGGCACCAAGGGGGGTCATGACCCATGTGGCCCCCCTTGGATCTGCCACTGATGCATAATATATTGATTTGTAAAGGCTAGACCGGTGGTGCCCCTGGCAGGCCTGTGGTGCCCCTGCTAAGCCCCTGGTGCCCCTGGGCCCTGACAGGACTGTGGTGCCCCTGCTAGGCCTCTGGTGCCCCTGCAAGGCCGGTGGTGCCCCTGTAAGGCCTGTAGTACCCCTGCTAGGCCTCTGGTGCCCCTAACAGGCCCATGGTGCCCCTGCGAGGCCGGTGGTGCCCCTGGCAGGTCTCTGGTGTCCCTGACAGACCTGGGGTGTCCCTGACAAGCCTGTGGGACCCGTCACAGGCCCGTGGTGCCCTTGCTAGGCCTGTGGTGCCCCTGGCGGGCTGGTGGTGCTCCTGCTAGGCCGGTGGTGCCCCTGCTTGGCCGGTGGTGCCCCCGGGCACCAAGGGGGGTCATGACCCATGTGGCCCCCCTTGTATCTGCCACTGATACATAATATATTGATTTGTAAAGGCGTTATGGCTTATGCAATATGCAATTGCAGGCACTTGGTA